GTGCTACCCCACCCGGAGTAGGAAAGAAAGGGGAAGCAGCTAGCTGATTCATCTTTTGCTTTTGAAATTTTACCTTTATTCAGTGGAATGGATATGAATGTCTTAATGTTGAATATTGGATGTATTGTATTTAAAGTTTGTAAGACAAAATCTGAGCTTTGATTTTCATGGTAAGTAAATGTTACAGGAAGGAAACTGTTCTAGTTCACTAGAAATTGAAAGCTATGAACTTTATGGAAGGAGATCTCACTGCTTCAGCTCTGCTCTCCATAAAGAAACAACCTTGGGTAAGACACCCAGCGTGGCTCAAGAAAGGAACTGAATCTGACCAGGGTCATTCTTCCCACACTTCATTTTCTTAGTATTTCAAGACATTGCATTCTCCTGTCTAGTTTCTGAGTCACTCATTTATCTTTTTAAAAAATTCCTGCTTTCTACCTATTGAAGCTCTCAGAATCGGGACACAGCTGGAGAAATTTCCAAGAAGGTGAGTTCTACCTATATTTTCTACAGCAATTACATACTTCTGTGAAACTCACAAGAGCACAGGGAAAGGCAGTGTTGGTTCCAGTTGGGGGGGCACCAGGTTGGTACCAGCTGCACTCACAGCATTGAACCTGCAGCAGCTAAATTCTGAGACACCACTCAGGAAGATGACAGATACTTTTATTCCTCCATCACTGAAGATGGAGCCAAGACAAATGTATTTTGAATATTTCAGATTACAGAATGAACTGTCTAAGTTAAAAATGGGTTAAAAGAATAGAATAGGAAAGCTTTGATTATTTGGCCGGAGAGTACATAGGAAATTTGTTTACTGTGGGCAATGACTGGGTTAAAAAAAAAAAAAAGACAGTTGCATAAAGTTGCCATGAAATAATATTAAGTGAAAAATACATCTAGATAAGAACTCTGTTATCTCAATTTATAGAACATGAGAACCAATAAACATATATAGTAAAAAAATCAGATTTGTACTTATTCAAATACATGATGTTTTACTAATTTCATAAGCACATTTAATTTTTTATACATTTTTACATCAAATGTTAAAGGTAGTATTTTCATTTTTGGTGTTTGATATTAAGATATAGAGGCGAGTTGGAGAGTTAATTAGCAACAGATTTATATATCAGACCTTCAGACTCTTTTGAAGACTGTGTACTGTGGAATAGTACTCTATCCATATTTGCATATTACATTTTAATGTTGACTTCAGAATTGTATATATAGTAGATCAATCTAGTTAAGGTTATCAACTTTGTTGCTCCAACTTTCCAAATCTTTACAGAAGTTTTTACCTTGTTCATTTTGTAGTTAGAAATATACTCTTAAGTCTACCGTAAAATTTTAGCTTCTACTATTATTATTAGATAAGTCCATTATTAAGGCTGTTGTCTACTTCTAGGAGATAACACATTATCATTTTGTTGTATTTGATAATAATTTTAATATAAAGTGATATTTATTATTCCACCATTTGTTATTGTTTCATTAACCACATTCAGTTACATGCCTTAAATAAAATTAGACAGATGTCACTTGACTCACTAGGCCCTTCATGTCTAGGCTGATCATGAGCACATTCCTACCTGCCTCCACCTTCTTCATTTCTTTCCTGGTGCTCTATATTCTCCTCCTGTGTTATCTTTATACCTTACATTTCACCCCTTTAGACAATCGCCTTCATGAACCGTTATGTTTTCCTTCCTATCCTCAACCATTCTGCTGAATTTCCTGCTTCTTCTGTCTTTAATCAGGGCTTTACTTTTACACAGAGGCACACCTAATCAAGTGTGGTTTTCACTCGGCTTCGCTTTTGAGCTGAACACTCAGTTTTCTGAGTGCACTCCCAATGACTATGTGCATTTTGTCATTTGAAACTATCAAGTCTCTAAGTATCAAAAAATACTTTTTGAGACTTTCTTGTTTAAATGTCATTTTTGTCTAGGTTAAAATACTAGCTCTAAAATTCATTTTTTTATCCAGGCTATGTTGTGGGTACCTCTTTGTTCCATCGATTCTGAATATATTTTTATATCCAGAAATTGGTGTTTGCACAAGGGTATCGATGCATATTTCTTAAATACTGTATTACTAGAAGCTCCATTGAGATTAGAATCATTTCCAAAATCAAGAGTAATATTTTTACAATAAAACATGAATGTTTACATGTATGTGGCATGATCTCTTGTCATTCGCATCTGGTTACATTTTGGAAATAGTTGTGATACCACAAATCACAAAACAAATCAAAGCTTTGTAATGTCAAACCTCTTTAGTTTATGGGATTTGGGACCAGTATAATAGAAATGTCATGCCTCCATTTTGCTGAAAGCAGTTTTACTGTTGAGAATCTGTTTTAATCTACTCCTTGAATTTATTCAGAGGACATAGTCTTATAGCTGACGGTTTACAGTGCACTCATTTTCTTAACCGTTCTTCATCTTTACTCTCACATGTCTTTGTGTGGATTTTTCCTTCACCTTATGGTTTTTTTCAGCCTAAAGTTATCCTTCAAAAAGGAAAAATTTATTAGCTTCAGAAAACAGAACATTGAATTCCACAAATGGTACAACAAATACATACTAAAAAATACAAATTTAAGCAGACATTAGAATCCATCTATACACTAAGAGTTATTAAGGAAGTACAAAAAGTGTTAATCAAATCCAGAGCAAGAAGTTCAGTCCTTTATGAAATTTTGGAATTTTCCAGAAAGGAGAATCTCAGTTGATTCTTCAAAGTTAATAAGGGAGGAAGAGAGAAAGAAATGTGAAAATGCAATGAAAAAAAAAAAAAAAAGCATCTATCCCATAAAGCCAGACAAGGGAAGGAGTGCTGTGCACTCCGCAGCGTATGTCAGCAATGTAAAAGAGCTCTTAAAGAGCAACAGCTTCCTAGAAGAAATTGGGGAGCTATTAACTGATTTCAGCAGAGCTTAAACATGGCATATCGGTTGCAAAATGGCTCCTTGAACAAATAAAACTGACTAAGGAAATCAAGCCTAAAAGCAGAAAAAAAAAATCAGTTACTGAAATGATTCCACCCAATAAATGCTGCGATCCTACACCGGGAAGAATGTAGATGTTCAGCAAAGTGATAGAATAGAGGCACAGAGGACAGAGAACAGAGTCTAACAGCAGGGAAGAAAGGTTTTAGTGTGAGTGTTTACAGAGGAGCCAAGTGGATGAAGGTCAGTGTCCCAGAAAGGGTCCTAGTACTGCAGACAACATTCTGCACATTCCTTACATAGTGAAGGGATGCATCACACCACACTTACAGAGGCCACTTGAACATGGGAAGTGTCAAGAACTGCCACTTGAACATGTGAAGTCAAGAATGGCAGACACCCAAGGACAGGCTCCAGCACCAATAAAGAATGGAAAGAGGACCCAGGGGTTTCAATACACAGAATCTGTATTCTAAACACTGTAAAAATGGAAGATATTCACACTTATGTCTACCATAACTACCACTGACTTAACTCAGCTACTTTCATTAGGGAAGAGTTTCTTAATTTAGTAACTCTGTATTCAGTTTGTGCAGTGACACATCTGGTAATTAACTCTCTTTTTCATACAAACACTTATGGATAACACTTTGATATAGGCCATTCACTCACACAGACATAACATAAGAAACTATGAATATAAATGTTTAATTCTGTATGCTATTTTTCTCTTGTAGACTCATCCATAATTTAAGAAATGGTGAATGAATATAAGAAAATTGTCCTTCTGACAGGATTAGAACGTATGAATCATTATAATTTTAGAGCGGTTAAGTCCCTAATGGCCCAAGAACTAAAACTGAGTAACACAATGCAAGATGATTATGACAGAATTAAGACAAATTCTGAACTGATGCTGGGTTGAGGGTTACGCCCAGATCTCATGACCCCCAATGACCACCAAGGAGTGCAACAGCAAAGAGCCTTTATTCGGGCTTAAGCTAGGGCCCTCAGATTTCACCGACACAGCAGATCCATACTGAGAGCCCCGAACTAGGGTGGGGTACACTTTTATGTGGAAGTTTCACAGAAGCCTGTGCGTGCCAAACATCCTTTAAAATGATTAGATGGTCCTATGCCTTGAGTACGGGGAAGATTCTTATTGGTAGGGGCTGTCTCTAGGGCATTGGAATGTGCTGACTGTTATCTGTGCGGCCAGAAGTTTCTGTTTTTACCTTATAAGGTTGCTATATGCCTGGGCTTGCTTGATCTATAGCTTTCCGGGATCGGGGTGGTAGCTGAAGATTGCAACATGCCTGAAACAGCTAGTCAAAATGGAGTTAGTGCCATCTTAAGCCAAGCAAATTACAGAAGTAGAAAGAAGCAGTTAGACGAGTTGGGGTCTCACATTGAGGATACTTATAGAAGTGTGCAAAGATATACCAGGACTTGAATATCTTGCTGATAATCTTAAAAAAGACAAGCTGAAAGTTAATATACTCCCACCCTTTCTCCACCCTCCCCAAACTTGCCTAGCACCCTGAGTGAGCATAGCTGATACATCTTTTTCTTAGTATGTGTCTTGCCATCCGTATTAGCTACTTTTCTATTGCTATGATAAAAAATCATGGCCAAGGAAACTTATAGAAGAAAAAGTTTATTGGGCTTACAGTTCCAGGGGGATAAGTGTTCATCATCATGGGGCAGGGGGGCCATGGCAGGAGGCATCGGGAGCAGAAAGCTGAGCTCACATCTTCAAGCAGGCATGGGAAGCAGAAAGGGAAAAACTGGAAATGAGGTGAGGCTGTGACCTCTTGAGACCTGACCCCAGTGATGTGCTTCCTTCACCAAGGCTGCACCTCTTAAACTTCCACAAAGAACATCACCAACTGGGTTCACGTGTTGAAATACTTGGAACCTATGGGGAATTTCCTCATGCATTTACAAATCCTTAAATAAGTTATAATTAATTCTCATTTAAGATACCCCATCATTAATATCTTTTCTGTCAACAAACATGTGTCAGTATGTAAGTAGAAGCCTATCTCTAAGAGACATGAAGAAGTTCCCATTTATAAAGTCACTGGATTTTTAAAAACATATGGAAAAGTTGGGCACAGAGCTCACACCTCAGATCTTAGCACTCAGTTGACTGGGGCAAGGAGATCCCCAACTTAAGACAATCCTGGGCTACGTAGTAAGACCTTGTCTCAGAAATCAAAACAAAACCAGAAAGAAAGAAGCCAAAGTTCAATGTCACAGATCAAATCACAATGTCTGTTTCCCTAATTTGGAGTACTCTGTAGAAGATGACCTGCCATATGATCATGTAAATTTCAGAGTCTTAAAAATAGACTGTAGGAAAAGAGGGTTGGGACAGGACTTGACTGATGTGCATAGAAGTCCTCAGGATGGAAAGACTGTTCTCACAGCACTGGGAAAGAGCAAGGAATCTCCTGAGGCAGTGCCTGGGCCTGACTTGGTGCTGTTGGTCTCCTTGTGGCTGGGTGGGGCTTCTGCAGCAGAAGAAAGAAAGCACAGGGAGATTAAGGCAGGAGCTGAGAGGAAACAAGGCTGTCTTAGACCAGTTTCTGTGCATTTATTACTTATTTATTTATGTTCTATATCAGTTCTAAAGAAAAAGAAAGAAAGACGTAAAACTGCATTAACAAAAAGAAAGAAAGATGAACCCAGTACTTCCCAATCCCTGTCCACCAGAAATGGAGGTTTGGAATCAGAATCAACCACAAATACACCTGCACTAAAGGTCTCATTAGGAAAGTATCTACTAAGGTCCTTCCCCTTCTTACCCTCTGTGAACATTTAGCTCTTTACATAGTCCAAGGACCTAGTAATAATGAAGTATGCAGGCAGCAAATTCATAGATTCCGGTTGTCCATTTTTTTTCAAGACTCCTGCAATCTAATTCCCTGTGATAAAAATATAAAATCATTGGTTACTTTTTCGTATGTGTGTCTGTGACTGTGTGTGTATGTATGTATTTGTTGAGTCCATACATGTAGGAGGGGGCCTTGCGGAAGCCAGAGGATGACTTTGGATGTCCTGCTTGGTTTACTTTCTGCTCTGTCTTTTTTCTTTGAGATAGAGTCTTTCCATGAACCTGGAGTTAGAATGGCATCCAGCAAAGCCTAGTGACTGTCCTGTCCATGACCCCCACAGTTCTGGGGTTACAGGCATACATGTAGGAAGGCCAGCTTTTCATGTGGTATCCAATCTCTAGTCCTCATGCTTGTGCTGCAAGCACCCTTATCCATAGAGCCATGTCCTTAGTCTCTCATTTCTCCTTTTAAAAATGTTTACTAAAATAACTTTCAGCTTTCCAAAGCCTGTTAAGGACTGTTAAACCTCAACTTGTACTTCTAAAACTAGATCTACTGGTCTTCTGCCATCACGTGTGAATAGAGGAGGGATGTAAATGAAATGTTCCTGGGTGAGGTGGTCCTATGCTCATGTCTAGCCATCTGTTCAGAGAATGCCATTCGAAGGACATAAGTGTAATTAGAATGCTATAATAAGAAGTGGACACCTTGACAGTAAATCATTGTGATTTGTCTAATATTCAAAGCCATTACTAAGGTCTGGGGATAAAGCTTCATAGTAGATAGAGCACATGCTTAGCATGCACAAGATCCTGAGTTCAATCTCCAACAAAGACAAAATCTGTCCTTGCCCATGGAAAAGCACAAGCACTTTTCTTTGGGAAAAGGGGACCAAAATCACAAAACCTGAAGACTGCACAATTTCATCCTGTGATTAAATCACTCATTACAAATGCATATATCAAAACCTCAGTGTAGTATAAATCTTTTGCTCATGACAAGCTATGCTGTTATAAAATAATTTATATTCTTAACAGGCTGTGTGTAGTAGTTTTATTTAACAAGGCTTATCATATACTCTATCATTTAAAAGACTTTGCCTGTACAGATACTTAACTGAGTGCTGGCTGGAGTTCCTTCCTACAAGCATTCTATCAACTGAGCTACACCCTCATTGTCAGAAACATTAACTCAGTGGCCCATTTATTCAAGATACTTCACTCTATTTTACAATGATAATAATCTTGAAAGAACTTCTCATCTAATCTCCCATGAGATTATTTTTTACTTAATGTGACCATTCATTCATCGGTTGTCTATCGTGAGACCATGAGAGCAGTTTGCAAATGTACTAGTTATTTTATTGCATACTACCATTATATCAGGACTTGTTACATGACCAATGTTTAATCCTTTGAACTATTAGAATGGCATTACTTGGAATGTGAAGACCATAGATGATGATTATAAT